ATTTTTTTGTGTTAAAGTCAGATTTTTCCACAAATATCACAATTATTCTTTGCGTCTCATACAGTCTCCTTGTAACCATCGCTGCCACCGAGCACACTTTATCCAGTCAACAACTTTTTTAGTATATTTATATTCTTCACCACATCCAATACAGTAGTCATCATCGTCTTCTTCAACTCCATCAACATCGTCATCATCCAGTTCTGCAGTTTTGGTTCACTTTTCCCATCTGATGTGTCAGAAATATCTAGTTTCGTTGTTTTGGCATTTTGTCTGACTACTTTTTTGGTTGCTTACTCATTGTTTTTTCTATCTTCTTGCATTTCTGTTGAACTTTTTATTTAGATTTTTTATATTGCTCTTACTACTCAGAAACGTAGCTAAATTTTTTGACCTTTTGCAAACCGCTTCAGCGCGAGGGAGGTTGGGTACTGGAGAAATGTTTTCCAATATTTTTCCCGGTGTAACGTCATCATTTGGGTTAATTCAAACTAGCAGATCATTGCAAATCTCGGGTCTCTTCGATTGTAGTGAGTCAGACGAAGGGATATTTGATGGTCCAGTTACAGGAAAAACATTTTTAGTAGGTGCCTGATGACAAGAGGCTTGTTGTAAATTATTTGCAATCTTTCTGATAGGTGCCTGATAAGAACGGTTCTGGTAGGTACCTGATGGGACTGACCTGGTTGAATATTATCCACCTGTTACTAAACATGTACTAGAAGCGCATAGTCTGGAATAATATGAGGGTTAAATTGTACAATACCGGTGGCACGAAATCCGGAGATCTAATTGCTTACAGTTGTTACTTTTAACCAAGCCTCATTTAATAGTCTGCCAAATGCGGGCCTCTTTATTTTCCTTGTAGAATTAGCTTTTATAAATACGTTACATGAAAATAACAAAGTAAAAGGACAAATCACAGTTGTCTGTATACCATAGTTACAGAGAATGAAAGACTTTAAATGTATAATGATGACTAAATATGTAAATGATTAGAAATTTTTAAAAACGTTTTAGAATTTACTAGAAATGTTTTTCCTGTAAATTTAGAATATATGACAAGGAAATTAATAGAGGAGTACAAAAAAGGTGGTTTGGAAATAAACATAAAAAAGACCGAATATATGTGTATCGGTGGGACACAGCAGGACCTTACACTAGGGAATGGCGAAATTATTAAACATTGCGATGCATATAAATACCTGGGTATGACCATCACACAAGAAGGAAACGTAGACCGGACGATAGAAGAAAGAAACAACCAGGGAAGAAAAGCAATTACCCTTCTCAATAGCATAATGTGGAACCAGACAATATCAAACAACAACAAACATAGAATATACAATACAATTGTTAAGAGTATAATCACTTACAGCAGTGAAGTATGGCAAATAAAAGAAAGATACAAGAGAAAACTTGAAGCAACAGAAATGGATTTCTGGAGGCGCTCAGCAGGAAAATCAAGATTAGAAAGGAAGGAAAATCAAGATTAACCAACAACAGAATTAGGGAAATAATGAATGTGAAACACACAATAGTAGATGACATTAGTACCAAACAGCTTAGATGGTATGCACACGTACAAAGAATGTCCGAAGAACGACTCCCGAAACAAATCCTAACGTGGACCCCTCATGGTAGACGAAAAAGAGGAAGACCCCGCCTTAGTTGGAGAGAAGGCATAAATCGAAGTATGAGAGAAAGAGAATTAGATGAAGACCTTTGGATAGACCGAAGTGAATGGCGACTAGGCATCGGAAGACGTAGGAGAACGTTTTAAAACCGATATATATATATATATATATATATATATATATATATATATATATATATATATATATATATATATATATATATATATATATATATATATATTATATATATATATATATAAACCTTTTCTGTCCAGTCAGACCATCATCAGTGAAACCTGAACGCTGCTTCCAATTTTTGTTCAACCACTTCAAAGCTTGATCTTTCGGCTGTGACACTTAAGTCGTCTGCGTGTAAGAAGTTTCTAGTAAAAGTTGGAGTTTCTTTGATCATTGGTGTATAGGTTAAAAAGCATAGGTGCTATACCTTATTCCATTAAGCGGTGCAGGGCATATAAACAACGATAAATTTAACAGATAATTGTTAAAGATGTTCCAAATGAGTCTACTCGTTCCGATAAGTAACAGTATAATTATGACACTTTATTATTTTTTTTCTTTTCTCAAATATTCGTGTTTATTGCATAGTAAATAAATTAATGTTATCACTGAATACAAAGTAAGTGAAAAAATACTCCGATTTATAAAATTAATGAATATTTTATGCATAAATGCAAGTAACAGTTCTTCAAAAATATTTAAAAACTAACCGGAATGTCCATCTTTATTTCGTCTGGCGATGTTATCGGCGGTTCATACCGGTTCGGACACGATTTAATGTTTATATTTTCCTGCACCGCTTAATGAATTTTACTATAGTATGCTTCCTTGAGACAATAAGTTTGTTTGGGTTTGACAGCGAGTTTTTTTCCTCTGAAAAGCAGAATCGTCTAATTTGCAGTAGTGATTTCACTATTTTGATTAGTTGGTAGTCATTAAGAATGGCGTTGACTTTCTGCAGCAGGTTTCTGTGGTTGACGGTACCGTACGCAGCGCTTAGGTCGACTAGAGATAGGCCTGTTATCTTTATTTCTTCAAATACCTTCCGATGTGTTATATATATATATATATATATATATATATATATATATATATATATATATATATATATATATGCACCATATTGCTGTTATGATTTTTAAGTCAACTCCTTTCTCTTACTTTCTTTCAGTGTTTCATACAACTTATACAGGTAGCAAAGAAGCGATATAGGGCGGTAGCTCTTTTTTTGGCTCTTACAGGGTATAGTGTAGCTATGACTTTTGCTTTCTTCTACAGTTTTGTACTGCATATGGATGGGTTTGAATTGCACAATAAACATCAAGCTGTTTTACAATATATTGCAAAATGTTTTAATCTACAAGCGGTCTGTTATATTGGTAATATAGTGTGTTTCTTTAAATGATTTAGAAGATAAATATAAATTTGTGTAATGTAATTTTAACATAATTTAAGGTGATGTAAAGTTATTAAAGTTCTTTTACCCTATGACAACCGATATGCAATTAAGATATTATCAGTGGATCTCAAACATTTGGGCGTTAATGTTTAATTCCGATCGCTTGAAAAGTCAAAAAAATTTATTTTCCTGTATTTTATGTTCAGTAATAATATTGAATTTTACTGTATTAAAGGCAAATAAAATTAATATAATATGTATATACAGGGCGTGTTAAAAGAAGTGGGACGGAATATTTCAAATACTCGAAATTATTTGTCGACATCAAATGTTCATCAAGGTCTGTGTAAGTCTCTATTTTGCGTAGAGTGAAAAATATACAAATGGTTTTGCATGTACTAAAATTGGAGAATACTAGCCAAGTTGCTGGTTGTTTGAAATTTGGTACAATGACATGAAGGCAGTTTTACAAACAGATCCTGTGCTTTTCTCACAGGTTATTGAATAACTAAATTTGGCAGATTTATTCTTTGTTGCATTTTTTCTATGACGGTGGACTGGCTTTATTGAAATAGACTTAAAAGTAAATAGACTTAAAGTAATTGTTAGTCGCAATTTTACATAGAGACCCCAGCTCAGAATTTTTTTGGTTTTTAAAGATATATAAGCTTCACCTCGTTGTCTAGAAATAGCAGAATTATTTTTCTTTCATGTCTTAGGGCGCCGATTTCGTTTTTTACATTTTTTTTCTATTAAATCAAATATTTTTTCTTTATCTGCTTAATCCTATCATTTTGAGAGGTTGAAGCTACAATAGATATGTCCTCAAGAGACTCATTTGACATTTTCATGGAGAAAACGTCAAGGTTTCTTTTGCGGTTACGTCTGTTTTTGTGACACCACTTCCATTATCTAAACTAGTAATGTTCTTAAAAAGACTCATCTGACTCTTCCAGTTTAGAATTTTCCGGATTATATTCATCAGAGTTATCAGATGTAGAAATTTTGTCATCATTCGAGGAAAAATTTATTTAAGTTAATTTTACCTTCTGGCCTGCTTTCGCCATCTCCATCTTTTAACTCCATATAATGGTTGTTTCATTTTCGGGTAAATAAAGTCCTTTCTTAACTCCATTTTTCTCATCTGCAACTTATAGTTCTACATACTTGTTCGTTTTAAGTTCCGTAACCTCATTTTTTTATCTTTGCTTTTTTGGGTGATCTAAAATATGTAAGAGATAAAAAATAAGAAATAAACTTAAATGACCAATCACTTTTAAAATGGCTTTTGTAATATGATAAACTATATTTACTTTTAATTTTGCTTACTGTTATATTGTTTTTGAGCTAAACTAACAATGAATTTTCTTCTTAACGACATTTTTTCCATAAGATTAGCAAGAGAAGCAGAACACTGCACACCGTCTAGTTGTAAATATTAACTACATAATCTTACTTTTAGGATCTAAGTGATATATGACAGAAGGAGAATATAAGCCTATTTAGGTATAATGGATCTATGTACAACAAATCCATAAAAATCTCAGTGGATAAGGGATATAAGTATCATATTGTGTACATAGATCCTCTATGCACTTACATTTTAAAATTTACTGTGTACAAAGATCCTTTACACCCTAGTAACTTAGCAAATATTAATTTTAAAACGTGTTTGACTTGTTTGAAAAATTTTTAGGTTCCAACAACGTACTTTTAACATGATAACTTTTTTTGAAAAAAATATCACATAGACCGTTTATGCACTTGTCTTCATGTATGAGAGTTTCCTTGTTATATATTATATATTTTTAAATTAATATTGCACGACATAAAAAATAATAAAACAAGAAATATATTATAAACCAAATTTTTTTGACAATTTTACTATTTTTTGTGTTAAAGTATTGAATGGGTTGGTAAATGTTTACGAGTTTTCTTGTTATTAGGTTGAGATGACTGGAAGTAGTATATTTGACTACATTCATCATCAGGATCATTCGGAAATTGCCGAACAGTTAGGATTAGGTCTTTCACAAAACCAAAATTTGGCTTCACCGGAAAGCGGTTCGGAAGAGAGTACTTCCACGGCAGGAACAAATAATCCCGACGGTAAGTAGCATCGAGTATTTTTCGTTCTGTTTGCCTCTGAATTGTGAAATATCGATGGTGAAGGATCAATATGTTCTATAAAAAAAAAAACGATACTTTTCAGGAGAGCGGAAAAATTATTTTATAGATATAAGACGAGGTGCGAAAAAAACACGTCAATTTTATTTTTTTAATGTGGATTTTTGTAAAATGAACAGTTAAAAAAAATTATTTCTTATAATACTTTTAAAAGATAGGATAAATTAAAATAAAAGATTGTGATACATAGGACTTATTACAATTTATAATTGTATTTTAATTTTACACCTTTGCGTGTACAGCGGAGGATAGTATCCAGTTTTACCTTGATAACGCCATGTGGATCATAATTGATAACCCTGACATCCATACCTACTGGATCTTTTGCTACTCTACTTGGTCGTATCGATGAATATCTCAGAGAGTTTGTATAATTTTTAAAGAAACTGAACTAACAGTTTATTGCTTCATACGGAGATCAGTTTTTTCTGGCTTCTCTAGTAATACCAATACAGTCGCTTGGAAGCTTCATGTCCTGGTTTTTTCATTTTCGTTTAATACAGGCGTACACTGAATCGACTTCCATCTGGGTGTGCCCAACTTCCAAAAACTTTTGACTAATTTGTACATTATGCGAAAGTTTAGCAAAGCGTTGGACATAAAACAATTTCTATTTTGCGCCTTACATCCGTCCAAATATATGATTATCGGTTTTCTATCATCAGTGAGACAGTATTTGGTAAGGTAGTCTATAAGGCAAGAGGTGAATGTAGAGGCTACCAGCCAGATTGGTCTGGTCCTCAGAAAACCAGCAACAAGTAGGGTGTTTTGTAGCTACGTTTTATACTGTGATGTTATGGCAGCACAATTTTTTTTACAATAAAAAGCATTTTCCTGGATGAATGGTGTAAGTTTTAGAGCCTGAACATCAAGTTCTAGGGTGATTTGATTGCCAAGTGCTGTTTCGTTTTTATTTTTGTCTTTTCCAGCTCTAGCTGTATCCTTTTTGTTAATATAATGCTGCCAAATATTCTACATAGTATTTTCACTTCTATATCTTGATTACATTGATCCTTTTTCGTGGGCTAAACTAAAATATTTTTCTTGGCAATCATTGCACTGAAGATCGTCCTGCTTACACATCCAACTGTTTTTTGTTCACACTTACTGAGGTAGAATTTATTAGACATCCATTATCGTATGATATGTAGGTTAGAAATACAACTTGGAGGAACATTTTCTAGCATAGCGTGAAGGCATTTTTGGGAGGTCATTTAAAAAAATTTGTAGAAAGTCTATGTTGTCTAGTAGTTTCTGATCAGTTTTGTATCGTTTACTTCCTGGAGCGGCATGAGGCATTTTAAGAGAACTTTGTTTAACTCAATATTGTACCATCCGATACTTAATTCCATGCGTGGAATGGTTCTGTAAACTTTTGGTACGTCTGGAGTCATCTCGATGAACAGTATATTTTATTTTATTAATATGCTTTACATATGCTGCAACAATACCATGTCTTTGTTCCCAAGTTATTTTTCAAAAATGCTCGAAAATTCTTTTTCTAGCGTCTTCTGAAAACTCGGAACAACACCTAAATTTTGATTTTCTACATATTTCTTTGTCACAAGTGGGTTGCATGTGACGAGCATCTTTTTGTTTCAACTGTTCATACTTTCCTGTTTGCCCTTTAATGAATCCCAAATAAGGTTTCCCCTCCATTCGGAGTTTCTTATTTTTGTTTCTTTTCCATTGGCTAGGATCAACAACCTTTCTTCTTTTACGCCCTTTATTAATATTGTGATTATTGGGATCAAGATGTGCTTCAGAACTGTCTAAAATTTTCATCAGATGCTTCAATATGGTTAATATAAACAGGATCATATTTTGATTCATCATTTGACAAACTTCTATTTACAAATATTTGATTATTCTTTAGATTTGTATTTGAAGTTGACGGTCCTTCAATACTTAACTGTTGATCAGCTATGGGATATTGAACGTCATTTGACAAATTAGTATTTGACTGTACTTAAATGTTGATCAGTTGCGAGACCTGCTTTTTGATTGTCAGTAGTAGTTTCATCAAGTTGGTCAAGAGCTAGATTATTTTCTGCACCGTCTGTAGCTTTGTTTGACGAATCTGTTTTTGAAGTTGATTGTTCTACAATAACTGAATACTGATCTAAATCTTTTCCGACTTTAGGACTGTTAGTAACGTCTTGAAGGATAATATTGTGTCCTGTTGTAATCGGATCAACTGTAATAAGTACATTCCAACTTGTTACAGATTCCCTGAAAACAGTTATAACAGTGATCATTTCAGTAACGTTGATTTTATCAGTTGCCTAAGAAATTAATTAAGATATAAACAAGAATTGCTTTGAAGAGTATTAGTATCTAAGTCACAGTTTTTGCTAATTGATCGCTTGATGCTATTTGTAACTGTCTTGCCATTTCAATATTTTTTTTCCCCTGATGGATGCATTCTTTTAGTATCACCTTGTAAATAATTGGTTGTTATAAATCAAAAACCCTTACGTACTATTGTACAACAAATAGAGTGGTAATTATTTATTAATTTACAGTAGAGTATATATATTCAGGGATTCTACAGTATTCACTGCCTTCCCTCTCTCAACCGTTTCCATTTCTTTCGGTTGTCTTATTCTCCATCGTTTAGGCCTCTCTTACTCATAGCGTCGTCTACTTCGTTTCTCCAGGATCTTCGGGGTCGTCCCCTTTTCCTCCTTCCTATGGGGCTCCATTCGGTTATTCTCTGCAGGCATTCCATCTCTGTTGCCACCTTCTTACTGCTGTTTTTCTTGTTTATAATCCAATTTTCAGCCCCATATGTCATCATACTTCGCACTAATGTTTTATAAATCTGTGTTTTTGTCTTCATATTTAGGTGTCTATACCACCATACTGAGGCAAGTTGTCGGATTGCTGTTCTTGTTTGTCCCAATCTTTGCGTAATTTCTTCCTCTGTTGTTGCCTTTTTCGTGATTATAAACCTCAAGTATTTGAATTTATCCTTTCCTTTGATTGTTACGTTGTCATCAATCTGTAGATATTCTATGTCTTTTTCACTTGTAGATAAGCACTCTGTTGTCGCGAGGTTAATATCTAGGCCAGCCTTGTTATATTCTTCTTGTAGTTTCAGTAGAGCATCTAACCGTAATATACATACAGCTAGCTTTGTCATAGATTAATTTTACCTAGGTTTGTTTTATAAGATTATCCGAAAAAACGGATAAAGTTCTATCTGGCAATGTTCTTATGAGTGAATTATTAGCAGTTATAATTTCTGACAAAACGAAATGTCCTATCTATCTCTTAATAGCTAATCTTTAGAATTTTTATGGTAAATCAATACTACAAGACGTATACTATTTGCTTCATATTATTTTTAATATCAACTTACCAATATAATGAACAAAAATAAACGTAAAAATAAACGTTTTTCTATAGAAAACTTCAACAAATCACCAGCACGTGCTTTAGTTTATGGAGAACAAACACTAAATAATTAGATATGATTATTTACTTGCAGATCTGTTGACGCTAGAGATAGTACAATGTGAAATTAGATGGTACGATGCAATTTGCCTATTTCTCCCAAAAATATAAACTTTGTAAGACATCATTATCTTTTTTAATAATTTGGCGCCAAAATCTTAATTTTGATAAAAAGGAAGATAGGACATATTGATCCTTCACCGTCGATATGTGGTCTTGAAACATTCAAAATATGCTTTACAAATATATGTATGAAGAAAAAATACTTACATGATTTAAAATATTTTTTTAATTGCATTAAACATTTTAGGGTTATTCTGTTAATTTTTTTTATATTTATCATCAGAGACCCATATACTGGTATTTTAATGAGTAAGTTACTGTTTTATTTTGCTGTTTTGTGTTTTACTCTCTGTATTGTTTGTTTAATACAACGACAGATGTATCTGTTTGTTTTAATACATTGGTCTATTGGCCTAGATTGCTTTAAAATGTTTTTTCTCCTTTTTTGAACCAAAGTTTTCATGCATGCATGCGTGCAATTTAAAACCATTATTAAAAGTTAAAGCTCGCTCTCAATCGATTTATTTTCAGTTTTGATTTTATAAACGCTTTCATTTTCATTATTTTTTCATGATTTAAAATAAGGTTAAGTTTTATATATTTTTTTTTCAAACGACTTCTTCTTCTTATATTGCCGTGCACCTATAGTATGTTTGCGAATTATCTTAAGGCCACACATCTGTCTTTTGCGGCATACAAAAAATCGCCAGTGCTATTTATGCCTGTCCAGTTATTTATGTTCCGTAGCCACGACATTTGTGAGCGACCTACTCCTTTCTTGCATTCAATTTTTCCCTGGTTGATTAGTTGAGGGATTGCGTATTTTTTTCCTCTCAGAATATCTCGGAGGTATCCAATTTTTCGTACCTTGATTAAATTGACTTATTCTTTCTCAGTATTTGCCTTTCTTAAGACTTCCTCGTTTCTCACCCTATCTGTCCATGATCTGCGGAACATTCTTTGCAACGTCCACATTTTGAAGGTCTCCAACTTATTAATGGAAGGTACTCTTAACGTTTATGTTTCCATGGCGTATAACAACATGGACCATGCATAGCATTTAACCATCTTGTAACGGAGATTAAAGGAAAGATTGCGGTTACATAGTAGCGGAAACATTTTATTTCTTGTTGAGGATCTCATTGGTCATTCATCGTCATTCCCAAATATTTAAATGTTTTCACTAGATCGATTGGAGCATTATCTACTTGCAGTTGTATTCTTAAAAGTGCGTTTTTTCTTATTGCCATACATTTAGTTTTTCCAGCATTTATCTTCAAACCATATATTTTTCCTACGGTGTTTCTTTTATTTAACATCAACTGTATATCATGTTCGTTGTATGTTATTGTTACGGTGTCGTGGGCGTCTTCTTCTTCTTCAGCCTGTGTTCGTCCACTGCTGGACA